AAAAATCACCTATATTCAAAGGAGAAATGACAATTACAGGAACTAATTTTGGAGTTGATGCTGATGATATCAAAGTTACTCTAGTTGGAACAACTAAATCTTATAATGCTAAAGTAATATCTATCACAGATACTTCAATTTAAGTTTATTTAAGAGGAGGAATGCCTGGAAATTATAGAGTTACTGTAACAAGAAAAGGTTATGGAAATTCTTATGCTAATGGTGAAGATAACTTATTTAAATACATTATTCCAGTTACAAGTGTTACTTTAGAAGATGGTAGTTAAGCTAAAGGCTCTGAAGCTGGAGGAACTGTTATTAAAATTACAGGATCTAATTTTGTTTAAGGAGAAACCCTTGTCTTTATTGGAGCAGCTATTAATTGGATATGTGAAATTGATGAAAGTAGATTTACAAGTGAAGTCATCTATTGTACAGTTCCATCTAAATTTGAATTCTACAATCAGCCAGCTTAATTAGTTGTTGTGACATTATTAGTAACACTTGAATCAACATGTCTTGATACTACTAATCAATGCTTATTTACATATGATAGTACTTTAACACCTGAAATCGACGAATATCCATAATCTACTACTTAATTTACAGGATCAAGAATTTTAACAGAAAATGATCATTAAAAACCAGATTATCAAAAATTAGTTTAAAGAAAGAGATTTTTATGGACAGAAGAATCAAAGTAATAAGGAAACAATCATATTTTGAATCTTGGTAAATCAGCTAGAAGAGATATGTTATCGTCTGCTGAATTAGTATTAAGTTAATAAAAGACTTATGTTCCAGGTAATACAGAAACATTATCAGGAACAGGATTGACAGATTCAGTTTCTGTTGTCTTCAAAGGCCCAGTTACATAAACAGTTACAGCAACTATTTCTGGGGCTTCGTTTACTTATACAATTCCTAATTTACCATAAGGATAATATTCTACTTATGTTTTAACAAAAAATGGTTATGCAAATAAGATTTGGGTTACTGTGATTGGATTAAGTATTACTTCTATTGATAATGCTGCAATTGGTGGATAAATATTAACAATAAATGGATTTGGATTTAATGTTGATAGATCTCCAAGTGTAAAAGTTGGATCAACCATATGTACTGAATTAGAAGTAGTCTCAAGTGTATAATTAAAATGTAGAATGGCCAGATAATCAGGAACATCTGCT